TTTTTTTTTTTTTTTTTTTTTTTTTAGGGCGTTTAACTTAGTAAAATATAGCCTATTTAGGATAGGACATAACGGTTTGATTTAAATTCAAACTAATAATGTTTTCGGGGGTAGTTAACCTCTAACATTTCATTAGTTATGGATTTAATATTAGTGCAGAAAAATAAATTAAAAAAAAAAAGAAATACTAATTCCTCGAACTTATTCGCAACTAGCGGCGAATTGTTATATTTATGTATCGACCCTAAGGAAGTTTAGTATATTCAAAGCACTTTTCGACTAGCTGGTGCGCATTTGCTTATAAACTCACTAAATGTCCTCTTAGGAATCAACGTGGGACAAAGTCCCAAATTCATACTAAACACAACCTAATTGTTAAGCAGATTACCTCATTATATAAAGTATTTTTTTCCACACATACTGTAGTAAAGAAGAGGCGAAAGGTGTTTTCTGTTCTCCTGAGCCGAGGGATGCTCGTGGGACTTGGGTGAGGGTGTCCTACGACGAAACAAGGCAATGAAAGGTTGCTCGCTTTGAAATAGTTGACATGAAATATTTTCCTGTAAGAAAATAGATTGTGGGCTTAATTGAGCAACCTCAAACGTTAACTTATGAGATGACGATTGTCCAAAATCATACAAGGAGTCGGGAGACCAAATAACCCTTTAAAGGTTCTTTGATGGTGACATATATAATAGACATGCAGGCAATTCCCACAATAGACTTGCAACCTTTATCTTGACCAAGATACGGTCTGAGCTAGAGTTGTCTGTTTCATTTGGTCCTAGAAATGTGCGAGACAACTGCAATACAATTGATCCTTCTTTGCAATATTTGAACCTTTCCAGATATTGTCTGATTCTTAGATATGACTTTGGACCACCCCCTCCTTTGAACTGATCCTCCTTGACTCACTATTTCTTTAGCTCCATAACCCTTGCCTCTTTTTTTTTCTCACTATATATATAAAGTAGAGAAGACAAAAGGAGAGAAATATGCATCAAACAAAAAGGTCAACCCCTATCTGGATCTAATTCTGATTAGGACACTTGTTCGGTTCCTATATATTTTTTGGTTTTATATGCTTTTATGTAATATACTTCCTTTATACAGTAGAAAGCTGAAACGGCTAAATTCGACGCCGCTTTCACTCGACATCTTTTTAGCAAATAATGGCAGCAATCAAATTGATATGCAATTATAGCAAATGTAAACCCAAAAGTGGAGTGATCAGTATTCCTCCATCTTTAATTAGAAGATATGAATTCAAGCTATAAGGATTAAGTCGCTTTTGATAGGGAGCGCTTTACCCCCAAATGAGACTTTTCAACGCGAATTCAGCTTAATCGGGCCCTAAAGTAGATACAGGACACCGGGTGAAAATATATAAATGAAAATAAACCCAACACCACGCCATTGCCACAGCTTTGACATAGGCAAATACAAATTTATATGTCAGTTGCCATTCAGTGTACAAAGCATTTTGCATTCACGCAGGATCCGAGAAACGCCGCATCCAAGGGCATAATGTAGGTAGTCTATCTTCCTATGCAAGTGTCAGTGACTGATTGCACAGTTCGAACCCGTGACTTATAGATCATACCGTTATTTATGTGTCAGTTAATACAAAATGACGCTGCATCTACTCTAACCTTGTTGAAGTGCGAACCTTGTAGAAGTGGGCGTGAAATTAGAAATATACGTTCTTTAAAATACTTTCTACTATATATATACGGTTCAAGTTGAAGACAGTGGATAACGGCCATACCTGCTATCCAAATACTACATTTTTCAATGGGCAGCAATAATTGTCACCCCAAGATTGAAAGAGTTGGAGAACATTTCTCACGATCCCGACATTTCCCCTTGGTCTAAAAATTCAAAGCATCCTCTAAAGTTGGCACTAGTGCTCAACTATGTTGACTGATTGCACTTACGACAGCAATTCTCTTCATTGAACTGGACAAAGATATAAGAATCTGGTAAAAAAAATATTCATTCCATTTCCATGTTCACGAATTTTGTGTACGAAAAGTTAAAAAAGAAAAAGAAAAAGTAGAACTCATTGCTGCTTTCATTTTCGATGTTATCACTCGCATATGATATGATTAAAACACAACAGTAGCAGACCTTTCGTCCTTTCTTGTCCTTCATTTGGACCTGATAAAACACAAGATGCTGTTTTGTCAATTTCACAAATGACCCTCTTTTTGTTATTTGGCCACTTACTTTTCTTTAGTCGCTGATCAAGTTGTCATTCTTAGGTCACAGCATAGAGTAACTTTAATCAGGAGTGGCAAGGCGCAGAATGAAGTAATCAAGAAGGAAGCACAACATGACTTCCCAAATCCATGTTAAGGAGAATCTGCTTTCTTATCACAACTTAAGATGGAAAGAAAAGCATACTTCCAATTGAACGAGGAGTTTAAATCACAATCTTTGACATGCAAGTCAAATATCTACAACATAGCAAAATTATCCTTTTAGATGAATGGTGGTGAGAGTTTCACATGTCTTTTCATTTAAATAAGCGGTGAGGGTCCCAACAAATCATGTCATTAAGGGTAAAATGGAGATACGACAATATATTGTTCTCTTTGGGAAAAAATAGGAAGGAAAGTGATAGATAAATTGGGACATAGAAAGTACTATTAGTAGTAGTAGAAAGAAGAATTTCTTTAAATTTAAGTTCACATTTTACACTTTATCTCTCAAAGGTACCTATCTGCTTCTGGTGCACAGAGGGGTTGAAAAGATGGGTTTAAGGGTAAGGACAGCTGTTTGCACTACTGCCAAATCATGTACATCAATCAATAAGCATCACAATCCCAAAAGTATTTGGGTGCCAAAAGAGAAAAGGTAAGGAAATGTCCCCAAATAAGCTGTTTTCTCTTCGACTACACGACGTTAGGAAAGTGAAGCATCTTATACTCAGCCACATATCAACATGGTTTAGTCAGTCAGTACAGTAGAGAACTTTCCTGGACATTAATTTGACTTTCGTTGTTTAAACTAATGCCAATGTCCACTAAGATCTAAATCTAGCACAAATCAAGTGTGTCCAGTGGTGCCTGGGCAGGAGTTGCAGTCTCCTGGAGAGTAGCAAGGAAGAAGACGGGGGGTGGGGTGGGGTACATCAGTACAATGGGAGCTGAGAGAGAAAGAACGAAAAGAAGAAACAGTAAAGAAGGCTTATATAAGGAACTCTTTTCTTGGACCTCGATTAAACAGATACAATAGATCCTAATGCAGAGGGTTAAAACAGCAAGAGTAGAAAAAAAAAAAAAGGGGGTGGCGGTTGAAGGTGTAATGTGCCAAAGGGACTGAGATTTAAGTAATTCAGTTGTACTCTCTCAATTTCATTTTATACCTCATATTTCTTTTTTAGTTTGTGTTCAAGAAAGAATGCCAACTTTCTATACTGGAAACTCTTCAACTTTAAACTTCTCATTTACCCTTATTACATGCTCTTATGACCATAGAAATGTCATGGTATATTTAAAACCATATGTTCTGAAGGCAATTGGTATGTGCCAAAAGTCCTTTCTTTCTTAGACTCCGCGCCTGAAACAAAGAGAATACCTTCTTTTTTTTTTAATAAATTCGATTGTCCTTTACCTTTGACAAACAAATAAAGCAGAAAATGAGCACCTAATTGATAGTGAAAGTTGGAACAAGCAACCAGCCAGAGAGAAGATATGTACAAAGACAAATCCTCTTGAGCTTTGCTTATACAAAAGCATACCATATTTTTCTTGCCTAATTACCACTTCAGATTTCTCTGCCATAAGAAAACATGAAAAGTTATATGTTGACCTGTTCTCAGTTTCTACTCATGATTATGCATTCCTTCTGCCAGAGCCACAGGCATAAAAAATAGGCCCTTATTCTCCAGCAGTTGAGTTGCCATTGAGGGATTCACTTCCAGCAACTTGCGCAATGTCTCTTCCAGAGGTTCAATCAGTTGTTCATCAAGAATGTAATGTCCACAACCCTGCAAATCAGTCAGAAACTATTACGTTCTCCAAAAATTAGTTTTTGTATGAAGAAAGAGTCCAAAAGTTTGATTAGTAATGTAATTGTTATATATTGGAATCATGAATGGTACCTCAACGAATAAAAATGGGATAGAAGAAGGTTCACCTCCCAATCTGCTCCTACTGAGATCCTGCACAGTCAGGATTGAGTTAATTACAGAATGCTGTTAAGGAAATAAAAAACTACAACGGTTCTTGATGACCTGAAAGATGATACAAAGTAAAGAAAAGAAGTAAAAAGGCAGCTATTCGTCCGTGATACATCAAGATTAATAGCACCAACATTAACATGAAGATCGATCACTTTGAGGCACGGAAATAGGTCACCAGTTAAACCATTATCCAAATAATTGAACTACTGGTTTTAAAAATTGTACTGACACAGTAAGAAACCATAGCTCCTGAGGAAAAAAACTGTAAACTTATAAATATACTAAAACTACTCTAGAGAATGTACAACTATACAAGAAACCACACTCTATACAGTCTTATATATCTATGAGCGACAAGAATAACATTAAATAAGAATCATTATTTTATGCTTGCTTAAAAAACAAAGCAATTTAGGAGCCTAATATGTTCAAACCTAAATGAGAAGGAAGATGATAGTGGAGTTTAAAGGTCTATATAATTCTTTGGAATGATCTTCCAAAGAGGATTTGGCTGGAAAATGAATATAGTATGCACAACAGTGTTCCAGTCGAAGGAAAGTTATAGGCTAGCAGTATGTCTTCGGTTCCATACTAACTGGACAGGCACTTTTTTTTTTTTTATACACAGCATTCCAGTAGAAGGAAAGTTATGGGCTAGCACTATGGCTTCGGTTCCATACTTACTGGACAGGCACAGTTTTTTTTTTCTTTTTTTCTGCTTTGCTCTAGGCTGTAAACGGCCTACGTTGATGGTTACTGGAGACAAGCCAATTCTTCCTTTTTCAAATGGTTGAACAATTGAGCTAGACTTGCTATGCATCCGGTTTACCAGGTTAACTGGTTGTTTCCTCCTTTCTTAGCTTGAGTTTGTAATGTCAAACAAAAAGAAGCTCCCTTAAACACATCATCACACAATAACGTTCAGCAATATTGATCTTAATTCATCTTCTTTGAAGAAAATTGAGGGATTCACGGTAATAGAAGGCTTCAAGCTCTTATAGCCAAAATTTTCTAGTAATATTAGGAGTGGCATAACTACTACATGGTGTGGCTGTTTGGTGCTTAGTTTGCAATTTTGCGTATGGCTCAATTAGTTAAAATCCTTGTAGGCAGAGAAGCAGTATCAAAGTCAAACACACAACAAATTTATTGTTGCACTAATATGTTTAAAAAGCCAAATCAGAAAATGTTCAGGCATTCGGATGGTTCATCGCTTTAAGAACAGGAAAGTTCTTTGTCCACAGTGAATGCAGATGAGCTTATTTTATTTGAAGGACATTAAATAAGAACATCTATGTACCTTTATCTGGAACTGCAGATTTTTGATGTAGTCGATAACTTCATCCATCAGAGATGCTCTTCCACCCTGCAAAACCACAACTTATCAATTCTTTAATTCATTGTAGCAATCATGCCATTCCTTTTATGGTCTTTTAGTTTATAAGCATGGAGCAAATTGGCATGAAACCAGAACATAAAACTACTGCTTCACCCATTCCTTAGGGAGCAGAAGACCCTATAATGCATAGATGATTCCAGTAACTAATTCTTTGTATTCTCCTGCTTTCTGCGTGAAAAGCTTCACGTGCACAGCTTTTAAAAGATCTGAATATCCTGCATTTTGAATAGCTATGCAATATACATAAAGGTCAAATGCCAAAAGGATGTGTTACCTGTTTAGAGCATGGAAACAATTCTCGGAATGCGTCTATTCTTTCAGCAATTCTCATCTTGCGACGCTGAATACAAAACCAGCTATAATTAGGTATCAGCTAAATGAGATTTTGATGAAGTAAATTAGATTCATTAAAGGGCATCAAGAAGATGCAAAGAGTACAAAAGAGATAGGATAATTAGCTCCATTTACAAAAGCCTATGCTACTATCAGGGAGCTAATGAAATCCACAAAAGTATCAGCACTATTAACAGGGGTGAGATAGCGCCAGCTAAATAAGTTAACTAAACACGCAGCCTTGAGGGAGTAGAGTGGAGTTGATATGCCATCAAAACATCTTCGATTCCTTTCTTTCCAAATACACTAAAAACTTGCAGCCGGCACCATTTTCCAGATTTTTCTAATGGATTTGTCAACTCTCCAAAAATACCAACTTTCAAAAGCTTGCTTTGTTGATTGTGGTATAAACCATTTCAAACCAAAGATAGTGTAGAAGAAGTTCCAAATTTCTTTTGCGACTAAGCAGTGGAGGAATAGGTGGTTTACACTTTCTGACCGTTGTAGCATCTATTAACTAGTGTGATGCTCCTCTTGATTAAGTTGTCTTGAGTGAGACAGGCCCATTTAGAGACAACCATGTGAAGCAAGTCACCTTGGTAAGCACTTTAGTTCTCCAGATGTGTTTCCACGCCAGTTATCTATTATTGGATTCTGATCACAGAAGTGAATGTATCCTTCTTTGACTGTGTACTTGCCTCTCTTAGAATTTCCCCAAATAAGTTTGTCAGGCTGTTGATCTTCGATGTCGTGACCTTCTAGGGAGCTTAACATTGTGAATTTGTGAGTAGGCTGTTGACCTCCCAATCCTGCAAATTTCTTCGGAAAAGTGGGCACCAGCCACCAAGTGCCATTGTCTCTATTTTGAGCAACAGTTTTGTTCAAGGCAATTTGATACATACTGGGAAACATGTCTTTCAAAGGTGTATTTTCGAACCATCTATCCTTCCAAAACTTAATACGAGTTCCATTCCCAACTTTGAAAGTTGCATTTTGGAAGCATTCATCCCAGTGGTTGCTGATGTTCTTCCACAGACCAACTCCATGAGGAGTGTTTGTTTTCTTGGAACACCAGTGGTTGTGTGCTCCATATTTAGCAACTATGATGTCCTTCCATAGCCTAGATTCCTCCTGTCCATATCTCCAGAGCCATTTTAAGAGCATAGCTTTGTTGTGTGCTTGTAGATCCCTGATGCCCAAGCCTCCTTTGAATTTTGGTTTTGTTACCTTGAGCCATTTCACTAGTGGAAATTTGTGTGTTTTGCTGCATCCTTCCCATAAGATCTTCCTTCTGAGTTTGTCCATCTGCTTTAGGACTGAGGTTGGAATTGGGAACAAAGACATGTGGTATGTGGGAAGACTGTCCAGTACACTATTGATTAAAGTTAACCTGCCACCCATGGAGAGGTATTGCATTTGCCAAGTCGCAAGCCTCTTTTCAAACTTCTCTAGGACTCCATTCCAAACTTCTCAGCTAAATGATATTACAATTTGATTACTGTAAAGCTTAAGCTTCACCAAAATTATGACAATCTCGTAAATGCAACGGTGGGAGCAGAAAATTTTCTTTGCGGGGCAGTGTCTGGGAGTATCAGCCGTACAAACTTATTAATTCTGATCATATATTCTGTATGCTAAGAATTATATACAACATACTGTAGTGCACATTCAAACATTTACAACAACAATAACAACAAACCCAGTGTAGTTCCACAAGTGGGGTTTGGGGAGGGTAGAGTGTACCCAGACCTTACTCCTGCCTTGAAAAGACAGAGAGATTGTTTCCGGTAGACCCTCGGCTCAGACATTTACAATTTAGGGGAATTACTTTGACCTCTCCTTTAGTACTGCTAAATTAACCTGACTTCCCTTCTACTTTGAGAAATACCAAGGACTTCTTCTCGGCTTTGATGTTTCATTACGAAGACCTCCCTTGCCGTTAACGTCCATTAGTAAGAACGTTTAACAGCTATATCAGCTCAAACATCAGGTCTGTTGTAATTTTACCTTCAAACTAATGTAGGAAAAGATTCACTTCAGACCATTCTCCCAACCACCNAATCACACTGCTCCTTGCTGTCCCCTACCCATACATATACATATTGTGTTACATGTGTAACATAGTGGATGATAGCTTCAAAATTGCATCTGCTGGTTTATGCTGTTTGTCAGTGGATGTCAAATTAATTCATCCCAAACTATTAAGAAAATTAAGAAAAAGTCATAATTAGAGAGAGTATCTAAACTTCCAAGTAAAGACTCTGTAGTACAAAATGGGATACACGTTTTGACAAATAAATATTCCATAAACAAATGCTGAAGCTCAATATTGTGTTACGCCATACAAAGTACTAACTGTTAATTACAACTCATGATGACTAATTTGTCTGTTTACTAATGGAAAGAGCCTTAGAAATGCACCAACTATTACAAAAACCTAGAGAACACATCTTGATATACAGTTCTAGATGACCTGATAATCATGAATATTTACAAATGTTAGAAACCAAAGAAGTTCTATATTTCATATCTAGAAGAGAAGATTACAAGGCCTATTTATAATACTAATTCACCTAATCTATTAGTTGCCATACACCTAATCACACCTACTATACAATTAATATACATGTGCTAGCTATGATGTAGTACATGTGTATACATGTGCTA